TCCACCATCACCACCAAAACCAGATTTGAAGGTCTCACACCTGTAGAACCCTTAACACAGAGAAGCAATATCTGCAGGAAGTAACTGCACTGGTACCTGCAGCAGATATCAAAAAAAGAAACGCCGGGTGCTTGTAGTGGGGGACTCCCTGGATCCCCAATGCCAGCCTGACAGGGAGTCTCGAGAGGTCTGCTGCCTCCTGGGAGCCAAGATCTGGGATGTTGCTGTGAGGGTGCCACAGCTTGTCAAGGAAACAGATTACTGTCCTTTGTTGATCTTTCATGTGTGCACCAATGATGCTACAAGGTACAACATGGGCAGAATCAAGGAAGATTATAAAGCTCTGGGAAGGCAAGTGAAAAACATCTGTGCCCAAGTTATTTCCTCCTCCATTTTGCCTGCTGAAGGAAGGTGGGAAGCCAGAAATAAATGCATAATGCGCATAAACTCCTGGCTATGTGGCTGGTGTCAACGCGAGGGGTTTGGTTTCTATGACAATGGGACTTCCTATTTAGATTATAATCTATTAGGGTGGGATGGGATCCACCTGTCATGAAGAGGTGGGGCAATCTTTGGCAGCAAGTTGGCTGACCTAGTAAGGTGAGCTTTAAACTGAATGGCTTGGGGGGTGGGGTCCAAAGTAGCAATGCCCATGCCATTGCAGTAGACTGGGGAATGGGACAGGCCAACTGTGAGGGTGACAGGTCTGCCTTAGCTGCCTCCCACGACTGGAGCCAGAGGGTCAGTCACCTCAAGGGTGTGCAGAACTACAGGGGATCCTCTTGCATCCACCTGGGAATACCTGGACAGTCTCCTCCCTTCTCCTCTCTTAGGTGTTTGTACCAACGGACGCAGCATGGGGAATAAACAGGAAGAAATAGAGGCCTGTGTGCAGTCGCAGGGCCATGAGCTCATTGTGATCACAGAGACATGGTGGGACAGCTCACATCATTGGAGTGCTGTCATGGATGATTATGTCCTCTTTAGGAAAAACAGGACAGCAGGGTGGGGTGGCAGGGTTGCCCTTTATGTGAGAGAGGGACTGGAATGTATCCAGCTCCACCTGGAAATGGATGATGAACAAGTGGAGAGTTTATGGGTGAGAATTAAGGGACAGGCTAATACAGGTGATGCTGTTGTGGGTGTTTACTATAGGCCACCTGATCAGGATGAGGAGGTTGACAAGGCCTTTGCCAGGCAACTGAAAGTAGCCTCAAGATCGAAGGCCCTGGTACTCCTGGGGGACTTCAATCACCCTGATATTTGTTGGAAAAGCAACACGGCAGAGTTAAGCTGGAACACAGAAGGTTCCACTTAAACATGAGGAAAAACTTCTTTACTGTGAGGGTGACAGAGCACTGGGACAGGCTGCCCAGAGAGGTTGTGGAGGCTCCATCTCTGGAGATGTTCCAAACCCACCTGGACGCTTTCCTGTGCAACCTGCTCTAGGTGAACCTGCTTTGGCAGGAGGGTTGGACTAGATGATCTGCAGAGGTCCCTTCCAACCCCCACCAATTCTGTGATTCTGTGAATCCCATCAGGCCCCATGGACTTAGGAAGATTCAACTGATACAACTGGTCATTTCCAATTTCAGTGTTCACAAATGGAAAGTCACTGCTCCTACCTGTCCCCCAACTCAGAAGACCAGGCAGACCAAGGTCTATCAGTATTATTAAAGACTGAGGCAAAAAAACCCCCAAACCATTAAATGCCTCTGCCTTTTCTTTATTTGTATTTGTCAGGTGACTATCTTCATCAAGTACTGATCCAATATTTTCCTTAGATCTCCTCTTGCTCAACATACTCAAAGAAGAATTTTTTTGACCCAACACTGGCCAGTTTCAACTCTAGTTAACCTTTAGCTGTGTTTTCTCCCTACTCATGCAAACCACAGCTCTGTCATCTTCCTGCAAAGCCTGACTTCCCTTCCAGAGATCATACAATTTCTTTTCCGCCTGAGTTCCAAGAGTTCCTTGTTCAGCCAAGCCAGTCTTCTGCCCTGCTTGCTTGACTTTTGGCACAATGGGATTGCCTGTTCCTGTACATTTAAAAGGTTGTTCTAAAAACTGAGCAGCTCTCATGGATCCCTAGGCCCTCAAAAGCAGATTCCAAGGGGACACTGCTAACTAGCTCCCTGAGCAGCTTAAAGTTTGCTCTCTTGAGACCCAGTATAGCAACTCCGCTGACCCTTTTTCTCATTACAACAAAAAACCCAAACTTAACCATTTCATTATCATTGTGGCCAAAACAGCCACCTACCATCAGATCTCCCATGAGTCCTTTTCTATTCATAAACAAGTCTAGGAGGGCATCTTTCCTAGCTGGCTCACTGAGTACTTGAGACAAGAAATTATTTCAACATGATTCTTGAATTTCCCAGACTTGCTCGTCAGTGGTCTGGTATTCCCAGTTGATGAAATGAAGTTGAAATCTCCCATGAAGACAAGGGCTACCAATCCAGAGATTTCTCCTAATTGCCTATGGAATAAATCATCAGTGCTATCCTGGCTGAGTGAACAATAGTAGACACCCACAACAACTGCTTTGTTCTTCATCCCCCTAATCCTCACCCAAAGGCTCTCAACCACATCAGTAGCTGTAAGGGTTGTACAGTCAAACCTCTCCCTTACACAGTGCAACCTCCTCCACCTCGCCGGCCCTGCTTATCCCTCCTGAACAGCCTATAGCCCTGCATCCCAGCACTCCAGTTGTGGGACTCGTTCCACCAAGTCTCACTAATGCCAATGACATCGCAGCTGTGAGAACTGACCAACGCTTCCAGTTCATACTGTTTGTTTCTCATACTGTGTGTGTTGGTATACAAGCATTTCAGACTCGCTCCTAAACCCCCAGTGCTCCCCAGAGCTGTGTTAGCATTGCCACCCCCAGGCAGTCCTCTGCCGTTCCTTGGCTCACTTTTTCTACGGTGTATCAGTACAGTTTAATTCAAATTTTTACATCTTGCTCCACTATGCAAACTAAACCACAGCAGATGGGCATTACCTAGAGATTCCCTTTAAAAAAAGGCAAATTTTTCATCTGAATTAAAATGCTAATACACACCCAAATTCAGATTAGTAAAGGCATAAATTCGTTTGAAACAGTATACTAGTGATGGCACCATTAAAATGTGACATATTTGGCTTTGTTAGAGGTTACTTAGAAGTGCACACAAATGGAAATGTAATGCACTGAGATACTGAGCCAGTGACAACTGCTTTCAGTGAGTCCTCCTTTCACCTTTTGACTGTCTTCTCACTATACAGCTGCACACAGAGCAAGAAATTACCATTATTATACACTATTTTGGAAATACAAACAGGTACTGCATTAATCCATGCACCTAGTTGCTGAAGAAATGTCTAATCACTGTGGGAAGCTCACTACCATCCCACAGTAACCTTGTTAGGTGAGAAAATCCCATAAAGAAGTCAGAGGAGAATTTCTGCCACAGAGGAAATGTTATCAGTCCTGAAGTTAAGAGAATTCCTGCAATGAGGTGTGGCTTCTAGATGTAGGGTGGTAACATTTCATGCAAGCTGGTCAAAATCAACAATACTCTCACTACTACTGCTTTGGAAGAAATTAGGGACCAGTGCCTAAGCAATTATATTCAGATAATTTTTCTCTACTTTAGTGAGGAGTATTGTTAAATACAAACCCCCTTTTAAGGTCTGTCTTAGCAAGACTGCAAAGTGGAGAAGTTCTCTATTTCTTCAGAAACAGTAGAGTATTAAATAAGGAAAATGGCAGGGGCTAATCCATTTAAGATGGTAAAAGTGGAAAAGAGTTGCTGTATTGTCCCTTTTGTCTAGAGGCAGAGAAAAACTCTCCTTATGTGCAAAGGAGGGTAAAGGAGAAAAGAACAGTTATAAGAGGAAGGAAAATTGCAACTGTCCGGGAGCTGGGGACATAGCAGCCATTAGGATAATTGACTTATTTCAATGACCTTGATTAAGCTGTCGCAAAATTGACAAGCATACCACCCCTTTCAACCTGCTTACACTATATACCTTCAATGTGTTGTCACTACTGCGCAAGAGCATCGTGTTATTACTAAAAAAGAGTTATCAGTTAAAAAATAATGCTCACTCAGAAGTCTGTTACATTAAAGCATACTTTAGTAAATAGGCTACATCAAAAAATTTTTACAAGTTTGTTGGGTTTTTTTTTTCCACCCATTCCTACAAAGCTTCCATGTGTTAAAGGAACATTCCACTCCAGCTTTCAAGGCTCCCAGGTATCACTGAAACGACTCAATTGAAACAACTGAATGTGTTTTTCTCATTTAGATTCAGCACAGCTCAAATCATGCTATGTAGTTTGTAAAAGAACAACACTCCATCAGTGAAAAACAATATTTTTTAGGAGGAAGTAAAAGGATTGGAAAAAAAAAAAAATCCAAAACCTTCTTATAGGAAACCACTTTGAAACTGGTCTTCTTGATGCCTAAGTAGTAATATGCTTTCAAGTACGAACACTTTTCTTCACTGGATGAGATAACAGGATGCAGCTACCACCCATAAGCTTTAGTCCACACTGCTTTCTTCTTGAACTCTGGAAGAGATCTCAAGGCCAGAAGTGTAACTGTAAAGACAAGGACAAATGACAAAATTTGTGCAGTCCAGACTGGAAAGTATGTGTAAGTATTCTACCTAGTCATTTTACTAACACAGGTACAGATTCAGTTCTCTTTTTACTGACTCTTTTCATTACTTTTTCACTTCCTAGCCTGACAGTTTCTGATGCTACTTCTACTGTTCACAAGATACACTAGTCTCTACATGCCTCTGAAATGTGATGCTGTACTAGGCCTTTCATTTGCTTTACAGCATGTTTCCTACTGAAATCATATCACATCATCTGCTAATTAGATCATCACTTTGAAGCAGCACACAGATGAACCACCACTGCAGAAAGTCTGAATTCAATGAGCAACGATGCAAGAGGGGAGGTAGGAAGCACTGGGAAGAACAGAAGCACAAAGTACAATGCCTTAAGTCCTCTGCGCAATTCACTGATTGGAAATGCAATTCACTGATTTCTCAATTCAACTTGAAAGGATAGGGTATTTAGGCAAAATCCAGTAACCAAAGCAGTCACAATCTAGTCATCCAGGAGGGATTTTCATGTTCTAGTACTTAAAAGCAAAAAAACAATAGAAAGCTCAAAAAATAATGACTCATCTCAATCAGGGCATACTGAGAACATACAGTGTGTATCAGAATCCTCTGATGTATAGAGGAGATCCTTCAACCACCCTTAGCATTGTTTCTGGTGGAGATTAGCAGACACAACAGGGGAATTCTGAAATTTATCAGGGTGACTAAAGATTGCAGACCCTGAAAACAAGGCTAATTATCCTAGTACTGCAAAGAACTTAAAATCGGATTTCAAGATGCCATTTTAGGTCCAACAAATCAAGTGATTCAAAAGAGGTGCCTTGTGTTAATGGAAAGAAGCACACGCACACTGACTTCACTTCAGAGTATCTGTGGTGTCCTCTTAAAATGACTTGCACAGATTGTACTCACAATCCTACATCTCTAGGTGAGCAATGGGGTGCATGCTAGGGCCACAGGCCATCACTGTAATTCAAAATATAATGTATCTTTCTTTTCATAGCATCTTTTCAGCAATCTCATTCCTCTTTTCTTTCTTCTCAGACCACTCTACTGGGTTGTCACTGTCTCCTGTCCCTTCCCCACAATTCAGTCTTCAGTTGCACCTGAATAAATTGTTATGTGATTTCTATTCTACTACTGGAAGGTTTCCAAATAGTATGTTGCATTTTATTTTTAAGGGTAACTTCAAAAACAATTGACAGATCTATCCCTGAAACACACTTGTAAGACCAGATGTACCCTCAAGTCCTTTGGACCTTCCGTGGTACACCGTAAGCATCAGCAGATGAGACAGCAAATATATGGTGTTACAAACAGAAATGCTAACTTACCTGTGAAGGTTTCCTTAAAGACAAAACATAGCTCTCCTACATATGCTAACAATATAGATTCATCTCACTCCCTTTAATAACTGGATTTTGATGTGTACTGATAGTTATGGAAAAATAAGGACCCAATGAAAAATATCTTACCTTTCAGCAGGTCCATGGAAGATTTTGATAATGCTTCCTTAGGACTATCCATCATATTGATCAGCCAGTCAATAAACTAAAGATTGAAATATAAAGGAAAACTTGAATTAGAAGAGACTCTGTATCAGAACACCACAAATTCTTTTCAGTTTGACAGGCAACATCTGATTGCTGCTAAACTCACAGTTATCTAATCAGAGGCAGTGGCCAGTCAAGCTTCTGCCCAAACTGTCCAAACGCCCTAGAGTGTATCTCACTGTCAGTGCACTTTCTCCCACAGCTGGATCTGAAACTCCTTTTGTTCCTTCTCATTACCTCAGCAACAATTCTTCATAACAAAGAAGGCACAGTAAATAGTTTCCCTCCATAGTTTCCACACTTTTTTTCAACTTGAAAATAAATGACACACACTACGAACTGCACAGAAGATTTTCAGTTGCCCTAAATTGCCACTGTGGTGATGTCCAACTGCAGAGATTCTGTCTTTCAGTGTTTAAAAGAGTGACTTGCTACCAGCAGCTGCCAACTCTCCACTCCCAGCTGTACACTCTTTAAGAGTTTGACCCCCAACATTGGAATTTTTTTGTTCTTTGCAACTCTCACATTTTACTTGGGAAACTACATTCAGTCTTCTGAGACAATTCATATCTGATTGCAAGTAAGGAAAAACAAGATCATGAGTCAGATGCAATAGATATAGAGGAAATAACTGCTCCACCTAAGACTTGAGCTGACTACTAAAAATGGGGTGCTTTCTGGCTCTTGGAAAATGCTTACCACTACATGCAATTTTACCTTCTGTGTCTGTTCTTTCCAAGGCTCTTTAGCCAGCAAAAGGGAAATGCTGCTTGGAAGGAGAGTGAGAGTCTCTTGCACAGCAAGCTTGTCAGTGGGGTGCTTGCCAATGTGATCCGCAGATAATTCCAGTAGTATCGTTTGGTGCTTCCACAGTGGCCAGTTAGCACTGAGACCAAGCAGTAATGGTGCACCATGGTCAGCCCAGGCCACCACAGAAGCCGCAAACAGCCACAGGAGGAAATCTATGCACTAAACAGGAAAAAGGCAAAAATACACTTTATTAAATGAATAACACAGAAGGGGAAAAAAACCCAAAACAAAAGTCCAGATGGTGGCTTGCTCTTCAAAACAATAATCTGAAAATTCAGCTAACATTCAAAATGCAAGAATTAAAAAGTTCTTAATGTTCTCTTACGCTTTGAAGCAGCATAAGCCTTTTTCTAAATTCCAGATCAAACGAAAACGCCTACAGAATGAAAAGCAAACCCAAGCTCTTCTAAAATAATCCTTTAGGTTAAGGCTGATCCACGTTTTATTTAAAATGGGGAAATAACTTCTTTACAGCAAGCTGACTGTTGAGGGAAATTAGATATGGTCACACTTGTAGTGCTACAAACGGTTGGGAAATATTACAGCAATGTAACGAATGCCTTTCTGATCTAAGCAGCAGCTTATTGTATGTCCACAGCCAGAAGACTTAAACAGCTGAACTGATGTAACAATGAGAAATATTAGTTCCCTAAAATTGTCCAAGCCCTCTTAGAAATGGCAGCTGCACAGTTTTGACCTGCTTAGACAGTTCTACTGGTGAATTCAAATTTTTCCTTTAATGGTTCTAAATACAGTAGGAAATTCGAAGGAGTTACTTCTTTTAGTTGCCTTTAGCTTCTATCATAATTTAAATGTCCTGGTGTCCTGGTTTCAGCCAGCACAGAGTTAATTTTCTGCCTAGCAGCTGGTATAGTGCTGCATTTCGCCTGGACGCCTTCCTGTGTGATCTCATTTAGGTTCCTGCTCTGGCAGGGGGATTGGACTAGATGATCTTTTGAGGTCCCTTCCAATCTCTAAACGTTCTGTGATTCTGGATTTAGTACGAGAAGAATGTTGATAACACACTGAAATTTTAGTTGTTGCTAAGTAATGCTTATAGTAAGTCAAGGACTTTTCAGCTTCCCATGCTCTGCCAGGCCAGAAGGTGTATAAGATGCTGACAGGGAGCACAGACAGGACAGCTGACCCAAACTGGCTAAAGGGATATTCCATACCATATGACATCTGCTCAGTATATGGGAAGGAGTTGGCTGGGGGGAAGGGCAGCTCAGGAACTAGCTGGGCATCAGTCAGTGGGTGGTGTACATCACTTGTTTTGTATATTCTGTTATTATTATTCTCTTCCTTTTCTGTCCTATTAGATTGTCTTTATCTCAACCCACAATTTTACTTTTATCACAGAATCATAGTGGTTGGAAAAGACCTTTAAGATCACTGAGTCCAACCATAAACCTAACACTACCAATTCTACCTCTAAACCATGTCCCTAAGCACCTTGTCTACCCATCTTTTAAATACCACCAGGGAAGGTGACTCCACCACCTCCCTGGGCAGCCTGTTCCAATGGTTTGACTATGCTTTCAGTGAAGAAGTTTTTCCTAATATCCAATCTAAACCTTCCCTAGTGCAACTTGAGGCCATTTCCTCTCATTCTACTGCTTGTTACCTGGGAGAAGAGACCAACTCCCACCTCTCTACACCCTCCTGATTTTCCTCCCCATCCCACTGGGGGTGGGGGGAAGTGAGCGAGCAGCTGTGTGGTGCTCAGTTCTTGGCTGGGGTTAAACCATGATATATGGTTATTTTAAAGTAAGAGTTTAAAATACACATGCATTCACAAAAATTTAGAAGAATTTATCTATGGACGTAAGATGACAATATTATAAAAAATATAAAAGAATGAGGAATTATACTTATTGCTGAGGAACAATTTGAAATACATCAAAACCTTTTTTCCTGAAACCTGCAAATTATTTTCACAGCACATACCTCTTTAAGATCAACATTTTCTAAGGGTGTTGACCTGTATGCTGAATTTCTGATGTAGCCCATCAGGTCTAGCAGCCAGTTCATTCTTTTCATCACTCCTAGAAGAGGAACAAGAACATCGACTCATATAAAACACTAGAATGCATCATTTTTCATTAAAGAGCAAGCATAGGGAATCATTATAGCAATAAAGCACTCACTGTGGAAGTACAACGATCACCAATACCACTATCACATTTGATTCATGGTTGCCACTGACAAAAGGCATACGGGCACTTAAAACAGTACAAAGACTTTGCTTATAATGGAGGCAACAAACTGAATACACAAAAAAAGGAATGCTGAGAATTATTTCACATAATGGCAGCCTGCAGGTCCCACTAACTCAATCTGCATATATGACCACTACAGAATCCTCCCTGAAGTTTTTGCCCCAGTATTTCAGTCTAGCACTGATGTCACTGTACATTGGGCAAGAATGTGAGGAGTGCTGCAAAACTCCTCCTACAGTGTACAGAGGATCACTAAAATACAGTCAAGGAAAGTAGATAAAATGAGCCCTCAACCCAAGGACAGACATATTTCATTGATCAGATTCTGCTGTCCAAAATCTATTCTACCTCCTACAAACTAATAGCCATCTTTGTCTTCAAGACCATGTCACTTCATATGCTACCACTTCCTTGTACTCTTTACATGTGCTCTCTTTCATGTTGCCTCCTTTTTTACCCAAAGAAGCCTCACTTCATTCATTCAAAACTCACTGCTGTTTGAATTTCTTCAACCACAGCTGGCAGCTAAGACATCTATCAATATAATGTTTTGAAGTTGTTCTATGAACACAAGAAGCCAAAGATCCTTCTGCCACAAAAATGAGGAGATCCCATTCTTGCCTTCCCTCTGTTCTTGTTTCTTCCTCCTTTATCTTCCTGTGTGATTCTGCTACTTCTCTTGCATCAGCTACAGTGCTTTATCAAAACCTTAGCTGAGTGAGCCCAACTCATTAACCCATCTGGTATGGTTATGAAGAGGCAGAAAGGCAATTTGTTTCCTGTGTTAACTCAGTGCCAGAAGTTCAGAAAAGAAAGCTACCTCCTTGGTTCAACCTGTCTCACAGAAACATCCCTCTACCTACTGTGTCATGCACCAGTAAGTCACGTATTAGATCTGAAGGTTAGCAGAGTTGCAATATTACTGCTCTCTGAGATGCTATGTACATTTCTAACACTACCTTACACTGGAAGTCTAAATACACTAGGAGACACTGATCTAGTAAAAACTCAGGTCTGAAAACCACCTGGCTGAGATAAATGACTTGCAGCTGATCCACAGAAACATAAAGAAATGCAGAAAAAAATAAAAGCCATGTTTGATACAAGTATTTGAAGAGCAGAAAAATTCTGAAGATTGAGTAGTGTCTAATATGGAGAAATTTGGAACCACTTGGATTAAACCATCTTAAAACTATTTCAAAATAATCAGTGTAGATCCACAGACATATTTTTGATTTTGTCATTGATTCTTCTTTAAGCCTGACCTTACCTGTATTTTCATGGCTGACAACACGAGCATGATAGAAACCATGCAAGAGCATCCATAAAATATTTTCTCTCTGGTGATATCCTGCCACAGTATCAATCACAGCACTCAAGTTCATTAGAGGCAGCCTGCCTTGAGAAATTAAATACACTTTCGTGAATGTGGTCTTCTCTATATTGTTCTGCAAATGCAATCAAAAAAACATGTTAAATGAAATGCTGCCTTTCTTGTGGGAATAGTAGATGCTACATTCCTCTTTTTAAAAATGAAAATGGGAGAAATTATTTTATTATCTAGCAGCCTCATTTTTCTTCAAGAGAAATTATGAAACAGAAGACTATACACGCTTTTTAATACTCCAGCAAAGTACAACTCAGTACAGTTTGACTGTTTTCATATTACTTTAAATTTTACACTCCCTTTTAAATTGAAATGAGCCAGTTTGACAGTTCTAGAGACTGAAGTCTTCTTGCAAGTCAGATTGACTGCAATGACAAAAAGGGTTTTCTTAAATGGTGTTTTCCAGTGTGGAAATAAGAACTCAAAGATATAATGGAATGACAGTTCAGCTTCCCTAATTTATTTAAATGCTTGATTCTCTAGTGAATCTGCCAGTAAACATGGTTTTATGTCATGGATCTTTGTTTCTGACAACCTGATCTGAAACCATTAAGTCCTTCCACACAGGTAATCTCCTAAGCCTTTTTACTGCTATGAATTCTGCTGCTAATTGATTCCACTGGTGAGCTAGAAGCTGAAAGTTTTTCTACTCTATTCTATTGTTATCCTTAGCCATCTTGTTCACCAGGAAATATTTTGAGTGTGAATGCAAATATAGCACATTGAGTCATAAACAAATGGTTGTTCAGTCAAGTATTTCACATTTTTAACAGAAGCAAGGATCCACCAGTTCAAGCACAGCTGGTCACCAAGATGTATTTAAAGTCTATTTCAAGTAGGTGGTTATGTTAACCAAAGAGGACTACAGTCTGCTGCTTGCTTCATTGGTCTGGGCTTCAGAAGATCTAACACTATTCCTGGTCTACTAAGAGCCCTGCCTGAACTTGACCAGGTTACTTAGACTCTCCAGTTCAAAGCTCCCAAGTGAAATCAGTAGCATTTCAGTTGCCTTGAGAAAGTTATGGATATAGGCTCTTGTCACTTTTTCTTCTCTCTGCTGCCTGCAAATTAGAGCCAGAACACTCTTACTTGCAGGGCAGATAAAACGATCAAAGCTCCCAATGAGCTTTTGTTACACCCTGGTAACAAGGAAGATGGCAAGGCATGCTTGTTTCCCATGATTTGGGGATAAAAGACCAGGAGTAAAACATGATATAATGGTTTGGGTTGGAAGGGACCTTAAAGATCATCCAGTTCCAACCCCCCTGCCATCAGCAGGGACACCTTCCACTAGACCAGGTTGCTCAAAGCCTCATCCAGCCTGGCCTTAAACACTTCCAGGGAGGGGGCATCCACAACTTCCTTGGGCAACCTGTGCCAGTGTCTGACCACCCTCACACCAAAGAATTTCTTCCTAATATCTGATCTAAACCTGCCCTCTTCCAGTTTAAAGCCATTTCCCCTCATTCTATCACTACCTGCCCTTGTCAAGAGTCCCTCCCCAGCTTTCTTGTAGGCCCCTTCAGGTACTGGAAGGCCGCTATAAGATCTCCCCAGAGCCTTCTCTTCTCCAGGCTGAACAGCCCCAACTCTCTCACTCTGTCCTTGCAGGACAGGTAACCAGGATCATTAGCTTAGGATCATTACCTTAGAGATGTGGACAATGTGATCAATCTCTGCATCAGACATTTCTGAGATACATTTTGCTACATCGATGTACATCTTCAGTTCGCCTCTCTGAAAACAGAAAAGTAAATGCATGTTTAGACATATCGTGCCAGGTTTCTTCATCACTAAAATTGGTGGGTCCAGGAGCTTTGTTAACAATCATGATGAATATTTATTCTTGACTCTAACCTCATTTTATTTATTCTATTTTAGAAATTCTGTATTTGCTGGGAACTTCAATGTACTTAATTATTATGGAATAATGGTATCTGAAAACTTTCAGAGTTTATTTTTAATGGAAAAGTGCCCTTCCTTGGAGATATTTTCTGTAGCTAGTTTCTTTAAATCACTGTGTGAAGCCGAATCCTCTGTGGGGAGAAAAAAAAAATCTTCTGATTGTTCTCTGATTCTGTTTTAATAACATTTATTACAGTACTAATACTGTATTTTCCCATTACCAAATCATTTATGAGGGAAAAGTGTACATTAAATTGGTTTGACAACTTAGTCCTATTCTAAAAAATATCTGAAAGTAACCTAAATTTAAATTATGCAGGCATCTTAACTACTATCGCTAAATATTTTACATCTACTTCATGTTTCAAATCTGATGTGTCAATACTAAAAGATAGGACTTACTATCAGTAAAAATATGCAGTTACAATGTTCATACACTTCATACTAATTCCTTACCTGAACCTGATTTGGTAGAAGCTCAAATATTTTCTCCACAGCCTGGCACAGAAAGCTCCAGCAGTACTGGGCACGGTTTGGAAGTTTCATTGCCTGTGTGAGCCCCTGTAAAACACACTGGCAAATTTCTGGGTTTTTTGTGCGGTTCTTCACTTCAAATTGTTGTATCAGAAACACTTCTGTAAAAGACTGTAGTTTGTCTTCTGCAACATGTTTCATCCACAGGGGCAGGGACATGAAAAGGTATTTCTGGTTTTTCATCTGAAAAGCAAAAGCCTTTGCTTAGTTTCATATTCTAGGTCTTCACTGACCTTCAAGTATAAAAAAGTGGCTCAAACATCACCTGAAAAAGCACTCAAAATCATAAATACTTCTCAACTCTTCCACTCTTTTTTGATGAAGTGCTTGAATTAAAAAGAGTTCAAACATGTCAACATTCTGTTTTTCTTAAAAACTGAGGAACTGTCTTTCAATGAACCCTAGGATAGCATGTCTCTGTACTGTCAGAACAATTGTGATTTCGCCACAGGCTGCTCACTGCATTCCTATGTAAAGCATACAGACTAACTAGACAGCCAAGGACAGAAGTATGGTACTCCTAGCACCATTAATATTGCTAGCTAGTGAGGATGAAAGAACAATTACCTTGAATGAATTCAAAGCTTACACAGTCTGTGGCTGAGCTCCTTTTGTGACCTCAAATCCCCACTGCAGTGAGAAACTGGTGCTCAGAAATAAAATCTTTATTTTTTTGGTACCTTACTAACTACATATCTTAAAACTGCCACCAAATGTTTGTATATCTGTGAAGACTAACAAATTAAAAATTACAAGACAAAAATACCCCTTGCAGAACTGGATTTCCTCAGAACTGTCATGAGCCTGCTCCTCAACTTGTACAAACTGAGAGAACTCCATAGTCAAGTGCACTGTGGGATTCAGGGAGTTTTACATACTGTATCAAGGAGTCCACATTGTACCTCCATAAGAAAAACTTCACTGTAGTGGAGGATAAGCCCAAACTTGATTATACTGTAGGTTAGTCTATTGACTATCTACAGAATAAAGGCAAGATTGTCAAGAAATAACACATTTCACTAGATCAAGAGACATTGCTGGAAGAAGGCAAGCTTTTGGACAGATAGGTTGGACTTTTTTCTATGAATATCAACAGGTATAATAAAAGATATTTTTTCTCTCTACGTGCCCCGTCTTCTTACATCTCTACATTATCAGAACTATAGCATGAAATGAGAGAGAGGAAAAAGGTCTTAAGCAATCTAAATAAAACCAATGTATCAGATCTTAAGTCTGCTTTGAATTTTAAGACCCCCAGAAGAGCCTTTCTCTCATTATAAATATCTGCTAAACAATGTTTCTGCAGAATTCTGAACTCAGTAATCCTTTTCCGGTGAGACACCCTAAACATCACCACTGAGGAATCTTATAGGAAAGAGGTGCTGAGGTTCCACAAACTTTCTGACATACATACACTGAGACTGTAGATAAGGGGAGGTGCCACCCACATCCCTAAAAGCATTGCTGCATTTTGAGATGACTGGGCCTGTGTCACAGCCAGCTGAAGGCAGAGATGTTTTACTTCATCACCTAAAGCAGAAGAAAACAAACAGAAGTTATGAAGAAATTATTTTCACTTTAAATTTGTTTTCAACTCATAAAATAAAAGAGAGTTACTGCTCTATTAGACCACTAAATTAAAATTTGTTTTTCTGGAGATGCTGCTTAAAGCTTTTAACACATACATGTTAGAGGTCTCCTCTTTTTATTCATGCACTTTCAGCAAGAAATCTCAGGATTTGTCCAAGTTCATTTCAATTCACTCAAGAATAAAAATACAGGAATGGTAAGAAAATTAAGAATTAAAAAATTCCTTGACAAATGAAGAGAAGATTTAATCTACAGAAGTAGAAATGAGTCAATATTCCTTTGCTGAACGCGGAAGTAATTAGCATTTGTTCACATTTCTACTCTCCCATGTTCCCCAAGTTCATATAATAAGGCACCAAACAGAGGTTAGTCACTGTTACTGCTGTGAGTGCTTCACTGCAGCATTCTCCAGGTTAACACCTTACTGTGCATAGAGGTTATGATGGTTATGGAATCCTTATTGGTGTCTTTAAAAGTCCCCTTAATGACTGGTACAGCCAGTTTTCTTAATAGAATAACTAGTCACAAATGTGTTGAAGAGGTACTTTGAGCAATGACATGGCTTCCATATAGTTTGTACTATACTACTACAGCAACATAAGGACAAACAATTTAAGTCTTATACTGCATTTGACCCATTAGACAGAAGATACAATACTGTTAAATGTCAGAATAAAACTTAAAAAAGGTGCTTTGCCAAGTTAAAATATTCCTTCAGTAATGAAAGTGGCAATCTATATAACATGACTTTTATAAAGTTCACTAACAATAGTACACAAACAAAGAAAAGATTTAAGAGGCTAGTACTAGGCTCTTCAAAATAAGATATCTTACATGAGAAGTTAAGGCATTTGCAGAACTCAGAAAGGGTGAAATTGTAACAAGGTACTTTGGTAACCAATTAAAAAATTCTCTCTCACTAGCTTGGACTGCTAAGATGCAGATTATGATTTGTCTATGACTGTTCACTTCAGAACACTACTAAATAACAAACAGGTACTACTTCAAATCACATTATATGGTTGCTGCTCAGCAACAACTGCAATAAACCTTGTAAGATGGGAAAGCAATCTATTGTCTTCAATATGTTTACAGATGAGCAAATCTTCACAGTAGAATCTGTGAAACATTTAGCATTCATAAAAAGTCATGAATTCTCAGACATTAATAACAATGATATACAAAATCTGAGAGAATTGAGCATATAGTCTAATTTTCATAAAAATATTCATGATATTGCTGTTCCAGAAAAAGTGTGATAGAGTACCACATTTCTAGGTGGACTGTTAGGTCGTAAGACAACTGTTCTGCATTATACTTTCTAGCATAACATGAATATTGCTCATTAGCACACACTAAGACCTATTTTTGCATGTATTCACAATCTAGAGAAGGGTGTGCCACTTTCACAACACTACAGAGGGACAGTCAAGAGAAAGTATAAAAATGTAGACTATGATGCTGTCTGAGGTCAATAAAAACAGCGACAAAATCAATGTACTGTTTCCTCTGGAATTCCCCCAATTTACAAAAGTAAGACTCTCAAGTGAAAAATAGGAATAAAAAAATCCCCCATATACTTAAGAAGTTTCAGCTATTCATAAGGTTGCACACAAATTTGCATCAGCACAGACTGCACAGCTCAGTATAGGAAATTCTTTCACTTATTCTTACAAAAGACTACAATCAATTGCAAAAATACCAAGTAAAATAGAAGTTGCAGTTGTAGCCATATCTTTCTGTATCTAACAAGCAGCTGTTCCTCACAGGACAGTTCAATGATTTCTAGTGCTTATACAAGCACTCATTAAGTAAAACAAACACCAGAAAGAGGTAAGAACTTTCCATATTCTGGGGTCTATGGCACAACAGTTTAAAGACAACAGCAGTTGCCCAAGCCTGTTGTAAAAGAATCTGCAAGGCCAGTAGTAGCAGTTACATAAATCAGGAGAAACAAAATTCAGTGGAATCAAAAAAGGGAATATGGAACTTCACAGTAGTTTGTTTTTTTATGGAAATTAGTTTGAAACTCACATGCTTATATCAACCAAAACAGGCACTGACAGATATGCTGAGTAAAAAAAATATACAAGGTGTCCAACACAATACTTCAGGTTCAAAGCTACTCTCCAGCATGAAGAAAAAAATGCTCTTAGAAGCACTGACAAAATCAGGATCATGATAGATAAAGGGATATACTTATCTCTGTCACCCAGTGTAATTTAGTAGAAAGTGTATTTCAGACTAGTGATAGCCAGATGAACTACAGAATAGTTCAAAGTTGTGATAAAGCTGCCTGCAGCCACTGACACAGGCACTGAACCAGCACTTAGTACTGAAAACAGGATACAATTAGTTGAGTTTCATGATGTAAATAGTTCTTACTGTAAATAGTTCAGACGAAAAATTCAGTGCAATTTCACCACTGTTTTAGGGAACTTCCAATACTGCTCCAAACTTCTCAGCTCTGATTTTCTCTAGTCTTTTCTTGAGTTAAAACAAACTCTGTTCACATGGTCATCACAAATATATGCTTGCAAACATTAAAAGGTTGGTCTTGAAACAACAGTGAACACTTCAACCCCTGCAATAACTTAAAGCCCTGAAGTGGGCTCTAAAGTTTGCGAAAGCTGTGTAGTAAAGAAGTCTTGTGACAAGTACAAAAGACGTAACAGAGAACTTTTAATCTTACCAAAGTTTAGCCTCATCAAAGGAGAAAGAATGGATGCCCAGTTTACAGGTGGATATTGATGGTTTTCTCCAATCAATGCAATGGGTGCCAGTGCTACTCTCACCAGCTCAGGTGGGACAGATTCGGGGCCTACAATGGAAGATTCAGAGTCTGAATTTTATACACACACATTTGACTAAACAGCTCAGGAAATTAAGTGTGAATGCTGCACTGAAGACCCATCTGTAGCAAAGAATTAAAATGCATTATAAAATTACTGTTATTTCTTTTTGTACCTGAGAATTAGCTATCTCTTGTTTGTAATCAACAGTTGTATTTAATACCCTGTCAAAAAAGGCTTTTTTTTAGTGATAAACATAAACTTTCTGTTTCTTTCTCTTTGAACCAATTTATGAGTTAAATACATATATTAATCATTTAGTAGGGCAGTATTTTTGCATTTGTTAGAAGGAAGACAGCAGAGTTTTCCAACACTGCTCTCCATCCCCATGCTGTTAAATGCAGGCCACAAAAACTCAGTCAGGTGCTAACCTTTGCTACTTACTGTGTTACTTAAACACAGAGAGTTAACTCGGTGGGGGTCCTCCTGGAGGCAAGGCACGGGCAATTTTTACCTCCACTGAAATTAAAGCCTGCTGCATAGGACATCAGTGAGCTCACTTAGCTCCACACAGGAATAATATCCCTTGCTTTATCTCCCTTAAGACTGTACTCCAAGACACCTCTCTCCTACTAGTCCTCCTCACATCAGAGCATACTTTCTTCAGGTTCTTTTGCATTTATCACACACAGCAGTAACCCCTTTGAATACTACTCTGTTACAGAGAATCTTAGCCTAGGATCACTGAAATAAGGGGCAGCATAAAGTTTGCCTGATGATGGGAGTATTCATGAGGATACCTGCTAACCCTTAAATTGATTTGACATTCATTCCCAGAGGGCAGATATATCATCTCACAGACACAGAGGGAAGGGGAAAGGGAAAGGGTTTAAAAAGTCATAAAAATTTAGTGGAAAAAACTAAAGCCCTAACTACACAATCTACTTTATCTTTTCAAGTGTTACTCAATTTTTTTTGTTTAGAGATGAAATATCCCACACTAGTGAAGTTTGAATTAGTATTTAGAAAAGTTCTCTTAGCAAATAAAAGTGGGTTATTAGGGTCACCTTTTACAGTCATAACAAATTTCCCAGAGGGATACTACAGTTTGATCCCTTCTTACCTTTCTTTCCACTTTCAATGACAAAGTCAATGGCTGCCCTGATAAAGCTGTTTTCAGGCAAGTAGCAAAAATCTGGAGGAACTGTGAAAACAAAAAGACTGTTTATATACTAAAACATGTCAGCAGAAATTATAATCCTGTGGGTGACTCAAAGCGTTTAGACCACAGCGGAAGACTAAGATGATTAAGGGGCTGGAGCATCTTTCTTATGAGGAAAGACTGAGAGAGCTGAGCCTGTTTAGCCTGGAGAGGAGAAGACTGATTAGGACCTTACTAATGTTTACAAATATCTAAAGGGCGGGTGCCAAGAGGATGGGGTCAGACTCTTTTCAGTGGTGTCCAGCAACAGGTAACGGACACAAGCTGGAACACAGGAGGTTCTGCTTAAACATGAGGAAAAACTTCTTTACAGTGAGGGTGACAGAGCACTGGAACAGGCTGCCCAGAGAGGTTGTGGAGTCTCCATCTCTGGAGATATCCAAAACCTGCCTGGATGCCTTCCTGTGCAGCCTGCTGTAGGTGAACCTGCTTCGGCAGGGAGGCTGGACTGGTTGATCTGCAGAGGCCCCTTCCAACCCCCACCATTCTGTGATTCACTGGCCTTTCCACTTTAATGCAAGCTAAACGTTTGTGTTGGTGAGAGGTGCCAGGTCAGAAAAAAAATCCACTGACCAGCTGAAAAGCCAGGGATAAGAACTTCCTTAAAATGTATCAGCCACTGTGAGTCAGGCTTTAAAAGGGAGAGCTTCAGAAGCTTAGTAAGTTTAATAAAACAGAGACATTCCATATCTATCTAACCTCAGGCATGCGTGACAAGATTATACAGAAGTAAAATCCAAGAATCTTTTCTCTATGATGAGGAAGTTTATCTACACTTCATATTACTGGTTCCCAACTTGGTTCACCCTGAAGCAAACAGTTTCCACTTCATCAGTTCCCTCCTATTACTGGTATTTTATCAGGGGTGTAATCCTGCCTTTATTTTACCTACGTACATTGAAACAACACCTGAAGGTAACGATGTATTGACAGAATATGTGTTTCTGTGCTAACTGCTACACTGATAGGGCACAGACCACTAGTTTTTTACTTCAGCTAAGCAGAGGAGATCTCTTCCAGAAAAATACTTTTGAAAAGTCATCTTGCTCTTTTTATGGAGCAGTTTTTAAGTGGTTTTTTTTTTCATAGAGTGGGAAGTGCTAAAACAAAGAGTAGATTGATGAGTGCTCAGGGCATGGAGTGGATAACGTAGATGTCAAATATGTGTGACATGCAATGTAAAACTTCTTTACAACTTATTCCATAAAAGAATAAAGACGGAAGCAATATATAAGTTTAACCAGATCAACTTAGAACCTTACTTTGATACTGCAAGTAAAAGCAGATGAGAGGGATCCTGTTCAGGAAACTGATTCCTGCTTCATGTTCCAACCTTTAGGTCTGGCACAAAGAACAACGAGGTCTCTGATTGAAAGGATGTTGTGTCATGTCATTTACAAGGGCTGCAATGTCTAGCCTATGTTGTCTAATGTGTCCCTTGCTGCCTTTTTAGCTAGGTGCTACTTCTGTATGTTCTTTAATCAGAAATAATAAAGCACGTTACCGGATGCCCTGTTCTGGGTAGAAGACAAACAGGACATATGAAGACGCCCCAAAAGTCCTGCTGCATTTGTCTGAAGGCCAATCTGCCCTGAAAAACTGATTATCTGTTGAGACAACAAACCACTAGTTAAGACAAATTTCCCTACATTGCTTCATTCAAGCTAGACACAGACATTATGCAGTTTATTCAAACAAATTTAGCCTGTTTGTGCAAGGTGTCACAGTCCCTTAGTGCATTATCCAAAGTAGGAAACAGAGGCTACCTTCTTACCTGTGTAAGGGTTCTGATTACTTCATTCAGCTTACTTTGAAATTGAGAGGACCGAATGCTCTCAGATTTCAGCTGACAGAAAAAAAGAAAAAAAATTATTTTATAAAGGAAAAACAGAAACAATAAAACAGAGAATAGGTGCAGAAATTACATGTGCACACATGCCTTTTTGTGGGAGAGTGGTTGAGAAAAGGAGAAAGCCTACATGGCTGTAAACTCTTCCTCAATGGCACTGCACGTGGGCCACATGACCAGAAAATGGGAACAGATCCCATTCTACATACTGTAATTCTGTCCTGCTTGGTTCATACCCAACATGACTCACTATTGCATAAATGGGATGATCTGGTATATAACCACTGCTGTAAGGATGCAGAGGATGTAATTCCATCTTGCTTTCTAGACAAATTTCTAGAAGAGATAAAGGTGCTCTCTGCTTGCATGTTCTCACCTGTATCATGCCTCCTTCAGAGCCCACCAATGCCACCAGCCCACTGACAGCAGCCAGACGCTGCATTGTTGGAGAACCCTGGAAGTGTCATTCAGGATCAGTGAGTCAATACAGATCAAACAACACTACTGTGGGACAAAATACTCATTTCTTCCAACTTAAAAATCATGACTGCTATCACTTGTACACCTCTCATCCCAACAACCTTTTACAGGTCAGACTCCAGCACACTGGATAATTATTCACCCCTCTCTGGGCAAATTAAGGCATTATATGGAGCTCCCCCCTCCCCCAGTCCAAAATCACCATGCATTTCTCCCTGACAAATCACTTTCTTGTAGCAGTTTTATTCCACAAAATATGCCAGTGCAATTAAACTCTGAAACACTTGATACAAGTTCGGAGTTTGATTTAAAACATGCAATTTTAGTTACAATGAGATAAGTTAAAATTAGTATAACAACTGAGGCACTATAATGACCACTCTGTTACTCTAATTTTGATTAAGTAGTACCTAATTTCACAAGGCACCTTCATTTAATAAACCAGATTTCATCCTTGGATATTGCTCCAAATTAGTAAAGATGTCCAAATTAAGATTTCATTTATTTATTTGTCTCATAAATTACCCAAGCAGAAGAGAAAAAAGGGGTTTTTTCCCTTTAGTAAACAGCCCAAAGATACACTTTTCCTTCTAAATATCAATCAAACAGCATGTTCAGATAGTCCTAACTTTTCCTAGCATCCCTCCTGCAGAAGCAAGAGAAACTATGTCCCTACTGTTCATTTAAAAACACCCCACCTTCTCAGCCCCACTCCAAAACCAGGAAATGAATTCAAACTCCTTTACCTCTGCAAGCAAGATTTTTATCCAGGCTGGCATTAGTCTGTCACTCAGGTCTTCGGCTTTCCCATGACCAGAAGCTGACAATCCATGTACTATTGCACCCAGAGCTAAAGCAAAACCGTGGGTCTGTAAGGTGAGAGAGACACATTAAAAAACAGATCTTCCAAAGGATTCTGTATTTTTATAATATTTATTATTGAAACATTACTTAAATATTTACTATTTACCAATTACTAGAAGTAATGTCTTTGTCTAACATACTGGATGCTTTCTTATGTCAAGTACTTTCTCATGTCAAGTGACATATGATTTTCTGAGGTTAAACACTAATCTTTGGCACACAGATTGCCCTCATCCTTTATTTTAGAGTAGACCTGATACAGAGGTAAAAAACTGTAGCAAAAGTAGTTTGTTTTGACTTCCTATTTTGCAAACAAACATTCTAAACAGTTGATTAGTGTAACAGCAGGCTTTAATTCAAAATTGTTGCTTGCCCCCCCCCCCCCTTTTTTTTTTCTGGCAAGCATTTAACAAAAAAGAACACACACTGAAATATGGAGATTATTTTTGGTATTTTTATACAGTAACCCTAGGACCTTAGGTATGAAACAGACACCTGGAAGAAGCTGTGGCTGTGGTTAAGATGCACTGTCCGGAATTTAAGGGAAAGCAAAAATTCAGAAGAGCACAGTAGATTTATTTACCTATCAAGCAAAAAAATCTAAAGAAATATGTTATAAAAGAGACAAAAAATGGCAGGATGCAGGGACTGAAGACCTGAAGAACTCAAAAGTACCACCTTCCTTTATAAATGCAATGCTATGCAACTGTAGACAATGCATCAGTGGATCAAGTGGTAGTCTTGGTAATTGAACGGTATATACAACATGCTCAATGTTAGTTAATCCTGAAAGTAGATCGATACCATTTTCTTGGAAGTTATGGTCCGGGTAAAGCACTATCCAATATTAAACAAATAAGAAAGAAACAGAACTGAAGCAAAGCAACACTGAAGTATGACCTGCTGATTATTTTCCACTAAGGTCCGCAGTTTCTTCATGGCCTCCTCAGCCTCAGCTGCTTCTATGATTCCAACACTGAAAGCAGAGACACAGGAACATGCCACAGAATAGGCAAGTACCTGGGAAAAAAAAAAAAATTCTGTTAACCAGTGTCTTATCAAATTCACCGTAGCAACGTGCACATGAAGCAATGTGACAGTATGATAAAAAAGCCATGACATTTTCAATTTATACTTTCAGATGTTTATTCCCTCTCTGAAAGATTCTTCACTGATGCTAATATTAAGCAAATACACCTAAAGCTTAAGAGTACTTCTGGTTTTATGTAAGTCAAATTCCTGATCTTCCACATAAGTGCTTCTGTATCTGATCATTACTTATGTGAGCATACACAGCATGTTGGCAACCCATCAGGGCTACAAGCAGGTCCACAAGGCCAGACGGGGAGCATGTAAAACTGTCTGCCACACACAGTGCATGACACTAGCCTTATGTCCTTGCAGTAGGATTCACAATCGACACTGCTTTTCTGTTCTTCAGCCTTAGACGTGGAGAGCAAGGAAATGAAGTCTGAACTTTCCACAAGGCAACTGTGCCAGCTTAACCTTTGTACCAGAGCAACAGAACAACACATGGTTATAAAGGAAGCAGAGAGCACCTACCTACTGCACAGGATTGACAATTTGACTTGGAGCAAGTAATGCTCAGATTGTACCTCTTGCTGCAGCAGATCATAGTTGTCTCTCAAGTATAGGACTATATCTCAGCCATCTATAGCTTTGAAAGAGTCTCTTGCGCATCTCAAATACATTAGTATTAATCTTACGATTCTGGCCAAATTTTACTCACATAATTATCTGTACAATTCCTTACAGAAATTTTAATTGAAAAGTGTAGCCAAACTATCTCATGATGTTGAACAGTTGCTGTCTTTCATCTCAGAAGTTGCAGTATTGAGCCTACTTTTATTTCAGTAAAGCACTTCGAGATCTCTAGGGAGAGATAAATTATTTCATAGCTGTAAGTCATTTCAGTGCCTGAACCATAAACTGCAAAAGTTTAATCCTCAATACATATGTACTGCCAAAAAAAATAAACTCCATAAAGTAAGACCTTTAATAGAGAACTTTCAGAGCAGTACCAAGAGGGGAAAGAGAATACTACTACCCATCTCTGCTAACTCCCTTAGAAAAACCAAGAGGATTACACAACTCAGCTGTTCAGCTGCTGCAGGCTTACATACATCAGATACAGGATTGGGGTTTTTTTTGTGCAAAACACCAGCTTATTCCGATTCTCCTTTTCTGTTGTAAACACCTCCAGATCTACCACTTTTCATTCTCTAGTTTTACCTCAACAAGGTAAAGTACATGAACCACATCAAAAGTTACAGGACATATCTTGTCAAAATAAATAGAAATACAAGCTCAAACTTAGCAGAGCTCAGTTTAAGTCTTGAAATCATAGTTAGAAAGAGAAGGGCAAATAAGACCAGAGCAGCATTCACAATTGCAAGACTCACATTAGCTAGTGATAGCAGCTTTCAAAGAAGGAAACAGAATGTGTATTGAAGGAGGAAGTATTAGCATTTTGGTTCTCTCCAAGAGAACTTGCTGCCTGCTTTCTAGTAGAGCAGATGAGCAGTAAACAACTGCATATAAGCAAGATCCATATCCACAGTTACTCAGGACCCAACTTTCAGCAACTTAATTTGAGGTTAAGGAACTAAAGAAGCCCTTTAAAGAATGATGCCTGTTACTTTTCAGGCAGTTTCTTAATGTTTGTACAACATTACTGTTTATTCTATTATTATTGTTTTCTTCAGCAGATCTAAAACCATATATTGTGAAAGAAATAATAGAAACCAAGCATTGCAATGCTACAGCTCCAAAGCTCCAGTAAAAAGTCTCTAGTTATTAAAAGGAGGCAACAAAGAAAGTAAAAGGAAGATTTAAAATTTGTGATAAAACAGGTCATACCTCCTGGACACATCTGCTTTGGTCCTCACTGCTGTCCAGGTATTTGCAGAGTTTTCGCAATGAAGTGGAAACATGCACTCGTGAGTCTGTTTGGCTACTGTGACTCATAAGTGAAAGAACAAGTCCTACTCCCAAAATGCATCCAGTGCTTAAAAGAGAAGACAAAAAAAAAAAAAAAAAAAAAAGGATTAAGTATGCTTTGGCTGCTCTGAGCTCTCTTTTCATCCCAAAATGAGTTGCTGAGCAAAAAGACCTTTGGGGCCTGCCTGATAATGAGCCCTCTGGATAATTACTTAACCATAGTCAATTTTACAAATGACTTTTATTTTACACACAGGTGATGCTTTTCAGGAGACACAGGATGAAAGAAGGGCATAAGAAAATGTGCATTTGAAATAATAAATCCTACACGTACAACCTCATTATTTGTTCTGTCCCCGAAGAACCTACAGCCCCATCAACAAGCACATCAACTAATACAAAGGAAGAATGGATCCAAACTTCAACATCTGATTTACAGTGATATGCCAGACTCTAATATCTAAACATACTAATTGCAGGTCCACTGGCTGTATTAGAGTCTGTTACTCTCAGACTCCTGCAAGAGCTGTCCCAGTTTGCAAAAATAATGAAATTGGTGATTGAGCCAGAGAGTGGCTAAGATGGCTGTGCAGATTAACCTATATGTACTAACATTTTAACCTATATGTACTAAAATACACATACACAACAGTGGACCACCTTCAACAGGGCAGAAATATTCAGAACAACTAACTGATGCTGAGGATACTTAAAACTGCAACAAGAACATAGCTTCAAAGTAGATGATTTGGTAGGGCAGCTGGCATGAACAGCTTCACAGTCTCTGCCTCTTTTTTAGATTGACTAGAAATTCCATTCTGGACCAGAGAACTCTAACTAAATTCAGCACCTGTGCTCCCACAACAATTTTCAGTTTCCACAGGTCATCATCAGTCATCATACTGAAAACTTTTGTCAGAAAATTCCACAACAGTTCTGGCTGCCATCATGAGATATGAAAAGCACAGCAGCTACTGGTTGGAAGGTGATCTCTCACTGGCACATGTACACAATAGCTTAAAGAAGCAGCTCTTTTCTGAAGATGAAGACTTTTTTCCCCTCATGCATCTCCCTGAGCATGGCAATGACAGTCACTGCATGTAGCGAGCAGTCAAATGTGGCTAGGATCTTAGGCATCCTTCTAAGCTCTGCTATCCAACTTGAAAATGGGAAGAGTTACTGCTTTTACTCAGCTAAGTAAAAAATATACTTCTGAGACTAACTTCAGTCATATTTATAAGCTAATGTTTTTAAGCACTGGGGGATGAAGATGATGAGCCTGCTAGAAGACTCAGAGTGGTGTCTTGGCAAAAGTGTCTTATTTTTTCCAGCAAAGACAGCAAAACAAACCTTTTGAATCAACATTTTAAAGTAACTGGCACATCTGAATTCATGAACAGACAACAAAATAGGGACGTGGCTTATATGCAAGAGTTCTATACACAATTTTACACTATTGCTTGTGGACAAAGAAAACACAGAAAGAAAACAAAGTTCCTAACTGAAGCTACAATTTTTGTGTTGCTGTCTCTTAGCAAAGACCCAAAACACAAGTTTAGACTCAAACAAGAGTAAAGCTTCACCCCTTCTGCTCCCCTTTTTGTAACTAGCAATGGTTCTTACTTGGCCACCTTTTTTGTGATCTAGATAAAATTAATATTTAAGTGCACTTCGTCCACACAATATCTCAGATTTCCCAGCACATTTTAAGTGTTTTACTGCCAGTGCATCAGACATACTGCAGTACTGTCACGACTCATCTTTGAATCTACTGTCATGTATGTCAATAATATAACTTGGCAGTGTACAGGGCAGTACAGTCCATCACATGACAGAACAAAGTACTTTACGAACAAACCACGAAACAAAAATATTTGTATTTTAGGATTAAGGAAAACTGGTATTTTCCTGATAATCCTGAGGTTAGTGGAGTTTGACATGTTTCTGTAAGAACAATATAAAAAGTTTGATGATAGTTTTGATTGAAAAGGCCTTAAAGTCAAATAAAACAGATATTGACCTTGCAAAAAAACTCCATAAAAACTAAGTCTGTTTACTGTTCCACATAGCAATTTGAAGGAAGGCTACTGTGTATTACAAGTTTCCTAACAATTTGCTCTTTACCACATCTTTACTCAACATTTATCATTTGCTCAATATTTCTTCAATATTTATTCTTACAGATGCAAGCTTGTTCTGCCATGCTGTAACTTCTTCATACAAGAAGTCATATTTGCAAAGGTTTTGTATAACTCATCCTCCGTATGGGAAATGTAACAAGGCAAAGTTTCTCAAAAACTTTTCACATCTAAACCTTTCGAAAGGTCAGAATTAACCCAATGTTCAACACATGTTTTTTTTTGTTTGCAGGAAGAAAGGCGGGGGGGAAGTAGTGGGGGGTGCAAAACCTTCCAATACAGGGACGCTACGTCCTGTTATGTTTGTTACCTATAGGCTGTACTGTTATAACGGGAACTCTGCCTCTGATTTTTTTTTTCCAAATTTATTTATTTATTATTTTTTCCCAGTGGGGTTGATCTGACAAAAATCTATTGAATATAATCTATGTGAATAACTGGAAATGTTAACAGCCATGACTGTACATGCTAGCTGAACCTATGCCCTAGTGGGAGAAAAAAATGAGTTGTTTATATAGCTTCTGCAATCAGTAAGTCTGACAAAACCTAGTAGCATGAAGAACTACATCACCTGTCGTGCGTATTTTCCATATCTGTGTACACTGAAAAGTGGTGTACCAGTATATTGTAAAAGTATACTTATTTCAGTTTCTGTCTAACATAAGGGTAGATTTAGGGTCCATTCCTAGATCTCGAGTGCATTCCATTTAAAATCAGGAGTAACTGCAAAGCTCTGAAGGCTCTGCAATCTGTGAAACTGTTTCAGCTAAGAACAGACAGCATCATACCAATGTGCTTAACCATCTGAAATGTTTTTCCCCCTTTAAAAGACTGAATTTCAGTTTTGTTTTGGTTTGCTTTTTTTCTTCCCTATGTAGTTATGGCAGATGAGGGTACTGATTTATAAGCATTATTCTCACAATGATCTTTTCTGAGAGGAAACTTTAGAGTATTTTCTGCAACTTACAAAGACATAGAGGTTCTTATGGAACGAACATAAGTGGACCCTCACTAAGCTAAAGCACTGGCTCAGGGAAAGATTCTTACTGTTTATTGACAACTCTGTTTCCTTCATTCCTCTTAACTCTTCCTCTGTCACCATTTTAAAATCAGAACTCTCCTAATTACATGAAAAAAACTATATATGAAACCGACATTCCTATCCAGGCTGGCACGATCAGTGAAGCGTGGCTGTGTGAGCTCCAGCTTGCACAGCACATACATCGATACACTGCTTTCTTACCTAGGCGCTCAAGGTAGAAAAACCAAAGAAAACAGAAATTCAGCAAAACCCTCCCTGGATAAGGTACTGCAGCACGTGCCATGTCTGGCGTAACACCCTGCGGAACTCCGTCACTGGGCAGAGAGGCCAATTACCCCAAACTGCCAGGAGGCAGGAGGCATGCCGCACCGCACCAGGCTACCGCCGGGCGGCAGGGTGCGGGGGATAGCAGGGGGTG